AAATAGGGAAAACAAAGACCTGATAAGAACTTCTGCAGACCCTGAGGAGATTGTTTTTGTTTCTGTTTTTTGCTTTTTGGGTCACACCCAGCGATGCACAGGGGTTACTCCTGGTTCATGCACTCAGGAATTACTCCTGGCCATGATCAGGGGACCATATGGAATTCTGGGAATCAAACCCGGGTTGGGGCCAGGTGCCAGGCAAACGCCCTACGCCCTACCTGCTGTGCTATCACTCCAGCCCCAGACCCTGAGGAAATTGGGCCCCTCCCCATGAGGGTACTTCTGGAATACCCTCAAACCTCTCCCTTAGTCCAGTTAATTTTAGTGATTCAGCCCAGAGAAGATCCAGCAGGACCAAAGGTTGAGAAAAGGAGATAATGAGCCAATTTCTGAGAGCCAGATGTGTCACAGGGTCATTCCAACAGCTGAAATCTGGGAGGACAAGAGACCCAAGCTAGTCTGAGGCTGGAGAAGAGGAATTCTTGGAGAAAAACCGTGTGTGTGTGTGTGTGTGTGTGTGTGTGTGTGTGTGTGTGTAAAGGCAACACTGGAGTTCTAAGAAGGCAAGACCAGGATGATGACCAAAGGATGGTGGAGCAGCTAGCTGTGTGGACGCTGAGACCACAGGAGAGGGGGTGGGCAGAAGGGTGAGGGAGGAGTGAAGTTCTGAATGTCTTGTTCTCTCCTCCTTTCTCTCTTTCTCCTACACTGGCCAGAAGTTGGGAAATGACAGCTTTCATAAGGACACCCATGGAGGCAGAATCAAAGGACAGTTCAAGTTGGTCTGGAGCTTAGGGACAAAGCCTGAACTCTGCATGTTGAAGGTTAGTCCTCGGAGGAAGCCCTCAGCGTGCAACAAACCAGAAAGGGGTCTTGTCACACCAGAGGTGCTTTTCACCAGAGTTGAGAAGCGGGTCCCAGCAAACTAATCTCTTTCTTGCTTTAGAAATATCATATTTACAGAGCTGGATCGATAGCACAGGGGGGAGGGCAATTGCCTTGCACACGGCTGACCTGGGTTTGATCCCAGGCATCCCATAGAGTCCCCCAAGCACTGCCAGGAGTAATGTCTGCATGCAGAACCAGGAGTAACCCCTGAGCATCGCTGGGTGTGACCCCTCCCCCCAAAAAATCATGTTTACAAAAACCAAGTGAGAGAGAATGTGCATAGAAAGTTTTATGTTCTCAGCAGGGGAGAGCAGAGGACAAAGGACAACATGTCCCCAAAGCCATGCCCTGAGCGCTCTGGGCACAGACTGATTAGCTCCTGGGGGTGCTAACCAGGCTCTCCACCCTCTAGGTAGGCAAGATTCCTAATGTGGAGGGAAACCTCTAGAGCCCCAGGAAATAACCCCGAGGGATCTTGTAATTGGAATGGGACCTGCTCCCCTTAATTTGTCCCTTGGAGAGATGGAGAAGTGCCTTTTTCTGGGGACCCAGCTGTTCGGATCAACAGTCCACAAAGGCAGAGAGGGTGGCTGTCGGGAGGATTCAGAGCCTGCCAGGAGGACTAGGCTGGGTTTCTCACCTCTCTGCACCCTGCGGGGCTTCCCACAGCTAGGGAACAATTTCCTTTGGGCAGAGGGGGAAGAATCCCAAATCCTTAGAACTTCTAAATGAATAATAATAACACGAAGTAGCAGAAGTAGCTGAGCTTTAGGCTTGAGAAGAATTCAGATCTGCTTGAATCCCCTTCACTGGAAGCCACAGAGGCGGAGAAAGGTCTTTCTGGAGTTCAATGTATTGTGAAATCATCCTGATTTCTGGGCAGAGCCAGAGACACACTCTGATCTGCAACTGAGGCTGACCCCAACTGTCCACACCTCCCAAGGGCAGTGTGTGCCTGCAGACGGTGAGTCAACAGGACTCTGAATCCCTCAGTCCCTGAGCCAAGGCAGGAGTGAAGACACTCCCACTGGGGGAGCTGTCAGCCTCAGCCCTGCAAGCACTCACCCTGCGCTTCCTGCCTTTCCTGTTGCCCACCCCACATCCTGCTTCCTTTTGATGTCTGCCGGTGGGCCCCACGGGTGACTTATGTGAAGCAAGGAGGAGAAAGACCAAAGACCATTACTATCTCCCCATCCACCTCCGCCATCCGGGACCCAGGGCTACTGGGTTCTTGTCTCACCCTGCAGAAAGGAATTTCAGGAGTAGACAAGCAGTGAAATAAGTAGATTTTACTTGGAGGGTTTTTAAGGTGTGGAGGAGGAGAGAGAGAAAGAGAGAGAGAGAGAGAGTGTGTGTGTAACTCACTCAAGAGAGAGCACGGGATTCTCCAAGGGCGGAGGGAGCTCTACACACACTCCAGCATTAGACACGAAAGCATGAAAGTCCACATCTCAAGAGGGGAGATGTAGGCGACACAGGTGCTTGGCCATGTGGGCACAAGCAACACATGGGCTCAGGCAACATATGCGTGTCCTTCCTTTGTTCAAGGTGTCTTTTATAGGTTCTTCTCGGGTTGTCTTGATTGGTTGTCTTGATCCAGAAATTCTGGACTCTTCTCGGGGCTGGGTCACATTTTAATCAGATTAAGGGAAAGGTCTGAGAGTTTGAGGAACTTCATGGGGAGGGGTCCAACCTCCTCAGGGTCTGCTGAAGTCTTATCAGGTTTGTTTTCTGTATCCACAGGGTGGATCAGACTTAGGATTTTCCTCCCAGAAGTTCTGTTGACCTAAAATTTGTTGCCGAGGGCCTTTCCCTATCTACCTGCCTACATCACTTTGTCGGTGGGTCCCAAGAGGGGACTTGTTGGGCCCCACAGGTGTCTTATGTGAGGCAGGGAGGAGAGAAACCGTCACTTTCTTCCAATCTGCCTCTGCCACCCGGGACCCAGGGTGTCAGAGTTCTTGTCGCAGCTCCCAGAAAAGAATTTCAGGAGTAGACAAGGAGTGAAGTAAAGCAGATTTTGTTTGGAGGTTTTTAGGAAGGGGAGAGAAAGTGAGGGAGCAACGTGGTCCAGAGAGAACCCAGGGTTTCTGAGGGCAGCGAGAGCCCCGACACAAATCCCAGCATTAGATAGGAAAGTCCACTCCTCAAGAGGGGAGATGCGGGCGACACATGTGCTCGGCCACGTGGGCACAAGCAGCACATGGGCTCAGGCAGCAAGTTTTTCCCACTTGCCCCCAGGTGGGGCTTCTACGTAGGTAAGAGTCCTTTGCTAGGGAGGTTGTCAAGGGGGTAGCTTGGGAATCATCAGTGGTCTCTGAAATTCCTTTCCTGGCCTTTTGTTCCTGCTGGAGCTTCTGTCTGAGGGCGGGAGTTCGGGCTGGGCTCCTCTGGGTCTGTTGCAGGTCCAGTGAAAGTCTTATTAGGCCTTAGTTCCTGTTTTCGGCAAAGTTGGCTTTCTGCAACTTCAGGGCTATTGATATTACTATTTCCTAGGATATTTACTGCCTTTGCTTGGGTGGGGGGCGGGGGCTTCCCTGTCTACCTTCCTGCTTACATCCCTTTTTCCCACCCTCCTTCAAGGGAGGAGACCCCACTGGTTCCCCTGCCCACAGGCCCTGCCCTGCTGTGCGGAGGCTGGATCCTGTGACAGACTTCTCTCCATCCTCCCTCCCTTCCAGGGCTGGGGAGCTGGTGCCGAGGTGGCGGGTGGGGGGGAGGGAGCATTGGCTGCGCATCCTCCTCCTTTGGTTTGCTCCCTCCCTCAGAGACACAGGGGCAGCGACTTCCCCTCAGTGAGAAGAGGAAGTGGTAGCTCAGCCTAGGTGGCAGAGGTGGGCCCTGGATCCTGTGAACTAGGGGGAGGGCTCACAGCTCCCTTCTGAGAAGTGCTCAGACCCAGCTGTCAACTTAAAGGGAGAGCTCTTAGCTGTGCTCCCCTGGACTCCCTTCATGCTCCCTCCATGCTCCCCCGTGCTCCCTCTGCTCCCTCTGTGCTTCCTCCGTGTTCCTGCGGTGCTTCCCTGTGCTCCCTCCATGCTCCCTCCGTTCTCCCCTGTGCTCCCTCCGTGTTCCCCTGTGCTCCCTCCATGCTCCCTGTTCCCCTGTGTTCCCTCCATGCTCCCTCTGTGCTCCTTCCCTGCTCCCTGTTCCCCTGTGCTCCCTCCGTGCTCCCTCCCTGCTCCCTGTTCCCCTGTGCTCCCTCCACACTCCCTCCATGCTCCCCTGTGCTCCCTCCGTGCTCCCTCCCTGCTCCCTGTTCCCCTGTGCTCCCTCCACACTCCCTCCATGCTCCCCTGTGCTCCCTCCGTGCTCCCTCCCTGCTCCCTGTTCCCCTGTGCTCCCTCCACACTCCCTCCATGCTTCCTCCATGCTCCCCTATGCTCCCTCCCTGCTCCCTGTTCCCCTGTGCTCCCTCCACGCTCCCTCCATGCTCCCCTGTGCTCCCTCCGTGCTCCCTCCCTGCTCCCTGTTCCCCTGTGCTCCCTCCACACTCCCTCCATGCTCCCCTGTGCTCCCTCCGTGCTCCCTCCCTGCTCCCTGTTCCCCTGTGCTCCCTCCACACTCCCTCCATGCTTCCTCCATGCTCCCCTATGCTCCCTCCCTGCTCCCTGTTCCCCTGTGCTCCCTCCACGCTCCCTCCATGCTCCCCTGTGCTCCCTCCGTGCTCCCTCCCTACTCCCTCCCTGCTCCCTGTGCTCGTTCCCTCTGCTCCCTTCATTCTCCCTGTGTGATCCCTCCATGCTCCGTGCTCCCCAACAAGTTTCCAGCGGTGCGACCTCCTCGCCCCCGACCAGAACCAGGAGAGGAGGGAGGCTTGCTGGGAGCAGGCCAGCACAAAGGCAGTTTGCTCCCTTGTCTGCAAACAGGAGTGGGGGGTGGCAGACTCCTGCCGCTCTCAGACTCAAGGAGCAGCTGAGTGAGGTGCCCCTGGGACCGAGGCAGCACCGTGGACATGGGCTGAGGGGCTGCAGGCTCCCCTGATCCCCCACCCAGGCAGGTTTTGATCCCTGAGTCCTAGTGGACCGGTCCACTCCGACCCGACATCGGGAATGGGTCGCTCCCCGGCAGTGACCGGTGTCCCTCCCTCCTCACAGCCAACCTGGCAGATGGCCAGCAGGAACTGGACCCTGGTGACTGAGTTCCTCTTCTCGGTGTTCCCGCGCCCGCACGAAGGCAGCCTCTACTTCTTCGTGCCCCTGCTGCTGGTCTACGTCTTCATCGTGGCCGGGAACCTGGCCATCTTCCTGGCGGTGCAGCGGGACGCGGCCCTGCACACGCCCATGTACTTTTTCATCAGTGTGCTGTCCTTCCTGGAGGTGTGCTACACCACCACCACCATCCCCAAGATGCTGGCCAGCCTGGCCGGCGGGCACAGAGGCATCTCCCTGGCGGGCTGCCTGCTGCAAATGTACTTCTTCCACTCGCTGGGCATCAGCGAGGGCTGCGTGCTGACCGCCATGGCCATAGACCGGTACGTGGCCATCTGCCACCCGCTGCGCTACCCCACCATCGTGACGCCGCGGCTCTGCGCCCAACTCACCGCCGGCTCCTGCCTCTGTGGCTTCCTCCTGGTGCTCCCCGAGATCGCGTGGATGGCCACGCTGCCCTTCTGCGGTTCCAACCGCATCCAGCAGATCTTCTGTGACTTCACGCCCCTGCTGCGCCTGGCCTGTGCGGACACGTCGCTGGTGGTCATCGTGGACGCTGTGCACGCGGCAGAGATCCTGGCCTCCTTCCTGGTCATCGCCCTGTCCTACGCCCGCATCATCGTGGTCATCCTGCGCATGCCCTCGGCCGAGGGCCGGCACAGAGCCTTCTCCACCTGCACCGCACACCTCGCCGTCTTCCTGCTGTTCTTCGGCAGCGTGGCTGTCATGTACCTGCGCTTCTCGGCCACCTACTCCGTGTTCTGGGACGTGGTCACAGCAGTCGCCTTCGTCATCCTGGCCCCCTTCCTGAACCCCATCATCTACAGCCTGAGAAACCAGGACATGAAGGACGCCATCCGGAGGGTCTTCTGCTCACAGCCCAGGTAGGGCGGGCTTGGGAAACGGCACTAGAGACCCCTGGGACCAGGGAGCTCAGCCTCCCGCCGGCCCCATCAGCTTCCAGGCTCAGTGGCCACAATTCTGGCTCTGCTGAAGTAAGCCTGAGCTCCCGGTGATGGGCGAGACCCACATCAACCCTCCCACACAGCCCCATACTCTCCTGCTGGACCCCAGTAGCCCCGAGCACAGAGCCAGGAACAGCCCCTGAGCACTGCTGGGTGTACTCAGAACATTTGATTATTTTTTTTTTATCGAATCACCGTGAGATACAGGTACAAAGCTTTCATGTTTGGGTTTCAGTCATACAATGATCAAACACCCATCCCTCCACCAGTGCCCATTCCTCACCACCAATGTCCCCAGTATCTCTCCCGCCACCCCCACCCCACCCCACTCCCTGCCTCTATAGCAGATACTTTCCTCCTCACTCTCTCTACTTTGGGGTATTATGGTTTGCAATACAGATACTGAGAGGCCGTCATGTTTGGTCCTTTGTCTACTTTCAGCACACATCTCCCATTCCAAGAGAGCCCTCCAACCATCGTTGATTTAGTGGTCTCTGAAAATTCTATTATTTACTCAGCTGCACTAAACTCTGTCCTTGTGAATCATAGATTTGGATGAATCTGTTTCTGTGGTGGGTAAAACAAAAATAACCAAGGCAAGAAAATGCACTGTTGATGCAAATCTCTTTTCAGCAGCCTCTTCCCAAATCACCCTTTTGTCACCTCAGATTCCCATGTACAGAGACATTAGTAAGATCTGTAAGTCTGTGGTTTTCTGGCAGATTATCTGGATTTTGTAGATGTCCCGGGCTGGAGCAATAGCACAGTGGGTAGGACGTTTGCCTTGCATGCGGCTGACCCAGGTTCAATTCCTCTGTCCCTCTCAGCGAACCCAGCAAGTTACCGAGAGTATCTCACCCACAGAGCAAAGCCTGGCAAGCTCCCCGTGGCATATTCGATATGCCAAAATCTATGAATGTCGGGAGGACAGTGCTATAGTTGTAGATACCCCGTGCTTCGCAGATCTTCCTGCTCTGTGAGACCTGCATGGGGTTCCTGTGGGACCAATCCTCGTCTGGGGTGAACCCCGGCACACGAGGCTGCCTCTTGGGGATGACGCCAGTGAGTAGGGCTGTCTGTCTGTGTGCTCCACTTGGGCCTTTCGAGGACCAAAGGGTCCACCTGGAGGCTGAAGAGGCTCCAACTAACTTTGTGGTTCTGGAAAGCCGCCCCATCTTCTGGGTCTTAATTTCCAACTTTGTAAAATAGATATCAAATTATGGCAATGGTCGCTTCATAATAACAGCCAGTTCTGGTTTATCCTTTGGCTTTAAGCTTAGGTGTAGCTTCCTTAGGAAGAGTGCACGCACTTTTACTAATGACCATGATTTTAGATCATTCACGAATCACGAGTCAAAATACCATGTTTCAAAATACCATGCACTGTAGCACTGTCCTCCCGTTGTTCTTCGATTTCCTCGAGAGGGCACCAGTAACATCTCCATTGTGAGACTTGTTACTGTTCTTGGCATATCCAATACACCACAGGGAGCTTGCCAGGCTCTGCTGTGCGGGTGGGATACTCTCGGTAGCTTGCCAGGCTCTCCAAGAGGGATGGATGAATTGAACCCGGGTCGGCCATGTACAAGGCAAACGCACTTCCTTCTCTGCTATCGCTCCAGTATGACACCAAGGATAATTAATACCTGCGGTTGGACCTAAAGAAGGTCTGATGAGCCCAAACAGAGAATAGGTCTGCTTATAACAGAGGCAGGAACAGTGAGGGACTATATCATCTGTAATTCTAAAACCTGGAATCTCCACTCTCTTCCCATGTCCAGCACCCAGGGACTGGGCACTACACTTACTCATTGTCTGTGTCAGGGTCCGTCCAGCATCTGGTGCTCCCGGGAATTGCACAGACAGTGGGCAGATATGCTAGACGGTAGGGATAGAAGTGCTTTGAATAAATGCTATGAATAAACCTTATTAGAAAGCTGCCTGGAATAGAAGGTTTTCTTTCTTTTTGTGTGTATGTGTGTGTGAGTGTGTGTGTGTTGTTGATGTTGTTGTTTTGCAGAAAGAGAAAATTGCACCGCTTACTAGGCAAAGTCTGAGGTGCGTTTCCACAGCAAACTCTGTGGGTCACTGGAACCCATGGTCCCAGAAAACACCCACCATTCTGGTGACGGCACCCACAGTCCCAGTGATGGCACCTATGATCCCAGACGGCACCCACTGTTCTGGTGACAGCACCCACAGTCCCAGACAGTACCCATGGTCCCAGTGATGGCACCCATGGTTCCAGATGGCACCCACAGTCCCAGTGACAGTCCCAGCAACAGCACCAGTAAATCATTAAGCCAAGCACCCAGGACAGAGCAGCTGCCATCCTCCCCACCGACCTCTGACCATCACGCAATTCTTGGACTGTGTGCAAAGCTCTGCTTTGGGAATTTTCCTCAGCCTTCAGTCTTGTAGCCAACAGTGAGGGTGTCACTGGAACCGTCTGTCACCGGACACTGTGGGTGCTCATCCTGGGTTCCGTGAGCGGGTCTGCTACGGCACCCAAGGTGGGCTCAGACCTCACGCCTGCTCCCACCCTCACTGCTGGGCCCATGGGGTGACTCTGAGGTGGGCACCGTTTGCGAGTGTGTCATTCCTACAGCGATGTGTGCTGTACCCTCAGACTCCTCCCCGAAGCTCCTGAGTCTCCGACTGCTGGGACAGTGTCTGCTCAGTCGAGTCCAGCCACCCTCCTTGTCCGAGTGCCCAGGCCCAGCTGCAGGCCCCTGGGGGTTAGCTTACCACCCCTGCCACCCCCATGGCCCCGTGACCCACTCCGCCCATCCCATGGGGTCAGGAGACTTTCTCAGGAGCTCCCGGGAGGGAGCCGGGAACCGAGCCTACTAATGAGAAGGAAACAAGCCACTAATGGGGCAGGAAGGCTGGGGCTGAGGCAGGAGCTGCCTCCTGGGGCTGCCCCTAATGAGGTCTCAGTAATTGCAGGTCTGGCAGAGTGCAGGCTGGGAGCAGGCCTGGGGGAGGCTGTTTTTTCCTCCATTCTCTGATGAGTACTAACTGGGGACCAGAGCCATGTCAGGTCAGCGGGAGGGCGTTCACCTTGCATGTGGCTGACCCAGGTTCGATACCCAGTATCCTATATGGTGTCCTGAGCACCACCAGGAGTGCTCCCTGAGTGGGTGCAGAGCCAGGAGGAACCCCTAAGCACGGCTGGGTGTGACTCAAAAAGCCCTCCCCACCACCGAAAAAAAAAGCAGCTCTGGGGTAGCCCCTAGCCAGGCTGGATTACCAGGCCGGGGCCCCAGCAGCCCCTAGCCTCCTCCTGGGGAGTGCTCCTCCTCCTCAGGAAGCACCTGGGGCTGGGGCTAGGGTGAGGGCCCACCTGTGCTCACTTGGGTGGGCTTCCTGATGGCCGCCCGCTCTAAAGGCCCTTCGTGGGCTGTGAGGGGCCCGTCCACACCCGGAAGAGCAGGGGGAAGAGCGGAGCTAGACTCTGCTGAAAAGGTGCCAGGAGACCTCCCAGGCAGTGAGAGGGAGGGAGGGATCACCTGCCCCAGGAGAGGGAGCACTGATGCTCCAGACATAGTGCTCCTCCCAGTTCAGAGGGTGCTCAAGTACTCAGACACAGTGCTCCTCCCACTCACACAGTGTGCTCAGATGCCCTGACACAGTGCTCGTCCGGCTCACTCACCTGGTGCTCATGTACTCAGACACAGTGCTCACAAAGCACACACAGGAAGCAGTACCACCCTTCTCTCACCATTCGAACCTCGCAACCCTCTGTTTATTTCAGGGAAAACCGACATCTCCTGCAGAAACAGAGTCTGCTATGCCAGCCATTGTCCAGGCTCCCCACAACTGAGCCATGGCACCGCTCTCAGGGCTGTGCGAGAACACTGGTGTGTCCTTCCTCAAGGGAGCTTAGGGTGACTGAGTCACACCCGTCACCGTGCTCCCGAGGCACTCCCATTCCTCTGCGTTTATCCTTAACTTCTCCTCTGTGCTCTGCTTCCCCATCTGCTAATCACCTACAGCCCCAAATCAGACCCTGTGACCTGTAGGGTCAGGTCCTTCCAAGGACTCTGGATTTTGTATTTGTGAGTAAGATATTGCTTTTCTCTTTCCCTTATGTCCTTTGCAGAGTTTACTTTAGAGCAATGTCCTTTTTGTAGAGACACAAGAAGACAGTAAATGCTATGCTTTTGTCACTTGGGGTTAATTGACTCCAAATAATATTCACTCCTGTAATGTCACAATTACTTGACTTAAGCCCCATTTGCCCTTGGTTCCTAGCACCCCAAAAGCAAGGTCCCAACAGAGAGACTGGATGGATGCAGAGCAAGCGGTAAGCTACCCTGGCATTGAAAAGGGACAGACCAAGTGTCATAAAACTTACAATAAGAGCACAGTCGTGGACAAACTCTGTCATGAGGGGCCAGAGCGATAGTACAGCGGGAAGGGCATTAGCCTTGTACACGGCCGACCCAGGGTTGGTCCCCGGGTCCCATAGGGTGCCCCGAGCACCACCAGGAGTGACCCTGAGTGCAGAGCCAGGCTGTGGGAGCTGACGCTGGCTCTGCTGCGGCCGCTCACAGTGGGGCCTGTGGATGGGACCGTAGGATGACTGATATTAACCATTTCAACGAAGACACAGCCCCACCACCAGGAGCAGAGCTGCCTGGGAAGGTCCAGGGATTTGGCAAAGCTCATCTCAGTCCCCAGGTGTCTGGGAGCGGCTGCACTTCGCAGGGCCGGCCAGCACAGGGGGCTACTCTTCCTTCCGGTGCAGACAGTCACTATCTTTCCCAAATCCCCTAAGAAACAGCGACTCCAAGCCCCTGAGCTAATCCGAAAGGGGGACCCAGGCAGGTCAGTAAACCCGAGTCCACTCCCGGCCTTCTTCTGCTCTGCGAGTTGGGCAGTAGACCACCTTCAACCTGCCACCTCTGCCCAGAAGAG